ATGAACAGCAAAATTAGGCAGGATCCGATTAGTTGTCCTTGGCATCTTGTTATACATTATGAAATTGATTATTGTTATTGCATATTGGTCCATTTACACTCCTTCATTTCAGGCTCTCAAAAGTCTAACCGAATTGGTCACATATTCGCCAAAGCGAGTTGAAAATCAGCTTGTTAATACTTAACCTATAAGCCGGCAATATCCTAATGGACAAATTAGGCAGCAATATATTAATTTAAAACTTCAAAAGTTGAAACATTTTTTTCATGGTAAACAACTTGAAACGAGAAAAAATTTCTATCCTGGAACCAGCATCTCAGAAAATATAATTTCTTAATATTCTTTTCTTTATCCTTCTAACCATTGATATGCCATACCCCATACAGCTTGTACTTTAAAATACCTTCAACAGCTTTTGAAGATTCCACCAATTATTTATTTATTTATTATTTTGCCTGTAAATAATGTATGAATTTCATAAAGAAATGGGCACGCCTTCCACTATCGAATCGCCTCAAATGTACAAATTTTACATAGCTTACAAAATTAGGGAAAAGGGGAATAGCCTAAGAAGCCGCTAAAAATGGAAAAAGGGAAGGCCTATGAAGCAACAAATCAGAGGAAGGGGGGGCTATATTATACAAAAAAAATGGATATAAATCTCCGGAGTTAACCTATATTAAGGGTATATATCTAGGGTTGCCTTATCAACATATGCAGGAGGGCGACGACAAGTAATACATTCTCACCCTAAGCATTTCACAAAACTATAACTGGAACTCGAAAAATCAAAAAGACAAGTTAGTAACTTACAATGAATTGGAAGGTGTTGAACTTGAGGTCTCTGGGGTAGCCAAAAAAGGGTTTGAAGAATCTACGTTTCTTTCAAGGTCAAGAACTGCTTTTAGTCTTCTCTCCACCTCCTCACTTTGTAGATTAATCTCCTCCAGAATCATAAACAATGCAGTTTTGCAGGATGCATCATCCCTAAATGCTAAGGTCCATCTCCCATCAAGCAGGGCTTTTATCTTTGTTTTTCCATAAGCACTACTATCAGATTTAGCAGGATCCATAAAAGGTAAAGTTGATGGACGAATCCGCAAGTGTAGCCATCTTGGATGCTTGTCATCAATTCTAGGCTGATAAGAGCAGATAATAAAATATTTACTTTTGAATTTAACATCATACTCAAAAGTAAACCTATAAGAGTTAACAAGTCTTTGGCATCAGGTCTTCTGCCACCACCCTGGCCCCCCAAACGCACACCCACTTCCCCCTGAAAATGAATCTGGTCCTATGCTCCTAGTATGTGTGTGTGTGCACATGCATATGTACATACGTTTATACATACATGTATGTATATATATAATATAAATATGTAGGTGTATGTATATATGTAGAGGAGGGATCCACTTACAAATCTTAAACATCACACTTACACAAAATCTCAATCATTCATTTCTCCACTTTCAATGGTTGAGATTTATCATGACTTTTTAGTGAAAAAAGTAATTATTTTTAATAAATATGATAAAAAATGAGAAAACCTCAATCATTGAAAGCGGAGAGATGAATGATCAAGATTTTGTGTAATTATGGTGCCTAAGACTTTCATGTAAGTGGATCCCTACTCATATATGTATGTAGATGCACAGGTGGCATGCACCTAGTTTTGTAGGGGTAAATATTAAACATGAAGAGCAAAATAGAGGAAAGCATACATTAGAGCCAGCCAATGGTGCTGCAACACATACAACTCCATGATTCTGCTTACGGGGCAACTCTTCTGCAAGGATAACCCACCCAGATGTGCCCAGAGAGACTGCTAGAAAGTGGAAATGGCGTTCTTTGCCCCGCTTAAATGCAATCCTACAAGGTAAGGCATCATCTGCACATGATAGAGATGAGATTGGTCAAATCATGAAGCACTGATGCCATGACTAGCAGATTGATTCTATAAAGCCAGTAATAAGAAAGGCAAAAGGAAACAAACCAAGCCTTATTTCAGTCCCAGGTTCAGGACCTGAGACATCCAGACAAGCTGTTCTGGCACGGGATTTTTCAGGAACATGAATAAGAGGTTGGTTAGGAGGCTGCTCAGGCAGAGGCCTTCCCAGGGAGAAGAATATTTGAAGCTGATGAAGAAGTACAAATGCCTAAGAAAAGATAGAAATATTAGTGACCTGTTGCCCAAAAAATAAAAAAGGCTACCAAGTGTGTAGGAAGCACTTCTTAACTAATAATTTACAAATCAACAATGAATCATAGAAAGGGAGCACTTTGAAGCATCATTCATTTAATAGGATCAAGTGGCATAATCTTATCAACATGTCTTGACCCTTATTTTGATTAAAACAAAAGACGGAGACTAAAGATTGTGAACACAAACCTTCACCAACTCATACATCCTTGCACCAGCAGCGGAGGATGATTCAGGGGGAATATCTGTATGTGTGACAGATGCATTACATCAGTATTCCACATACAAGGAAAAGGGAGCCAGCTATATGGCCAGTGTCTGAAGGTTACTCAGTCCTACCTTCAACAGTGGATTTCTGAACTGGCAAAAGTATAGACTTGGGTTCTTTTCGGGGGGAGGAAGCCTCAATTGCTGCAAAGTGCAATCATACATCCCAGTGAAATACTAAATACCCAAAATCATCATCAAGACATCAGTAAAATTAATTGTTGCAAGCCAAAGATACCTCTTTTGCACTTTTTCCATTCATCATAGAGTACTGTCAAGATTAGATCAGACCAGACACCTTTAGTCTCCTCTAGAAGAGCAGTTGTGCACTTCCTATGTGAATCCTGCACCACAAGCAGTCACACAATGAGTAGGCTTTTACTAATTGCTGATTCAGAGAAGATAAACCCACATCAATAAAATTTATTGTTTGCCACTGTCATATTTAAACAAAATATAGATATATGAAACAAAAAGCATCTTTGGCCAAAATAAATGAAAAAATAAAGTGCATCTGAGAACTTGATGCTCAATGAGAAACCCCTAGTAGTTTATATTCCATCTAATGCACCAGATTAAGGGCTAGTCCATTGCAAACACCTGTCATAGATTAAATGCCTTTCCAACTGTCCTTGTTGCATTATTTGTGAACACAAAAATGTCCAACTACTCAAAAAAGCTCGTCATCTATCCTTAGATAAGTATAATGGCAAAAAACAAGGCTAGTAAGGATACAATGTAACTCTCCACTACATTATGATTATGAATATAACTAACCTTTAATGGTTTAAGATGATGGCTTCTAAATTCTCCCTCACTGTAAGGAAGTAATTGGCGCAAAAGCCAACCAGCATCCCACAATGTTTCTGCGGATATATCTGAACGACATAAAAGATTGACCAATGCAACAAGGACCTAGAATATGTAAAATTTGAGAAATATCAAGATTTGTGTATTAATCTGCAAGAAATCTGCACTATGTTGACTTCCTTCTCCTTCCTAATCATTGTATGTTTGTGTGTATGTGTGTGGCTGTGTGCGCTAAGTTGATATATCAAAAAAACACTGCAACACCTCACTATCATGATGGCAGAACATCCTATCAAGCAGAGAACATTTTGAAAAACTTCTCCCAGTTTCTCTTTATAACTTTTTTTTATTAACTGAAAGGTTAAAACTACATTTTTTATCCTCTCATGTAGAGAGCCAGTTACTACTCAACTCCTCAGGGTGCCGTAACTAAAGCTTAACCTAAAGGTTACTACCCTTCCTTTACGAGAAATAGAACCCAGGTTCAAGTCCCAATCCCCTTGGCATAAAAAATGTCCCAAAAACAGTACCTGACTTCTGTGTAGACAAGGGCTTGGGATTGTTCCACCTTCTGGAAAAGAACACAAGACCCCATATTGTTCCTGTTAAACATAGAACGGAAAGGAAACTTATACTAAATGTAGAAAGATTAGTAAAGTAGCAAATCTAGATTTCTTTCTCTCTTCCTCCTGGCTGTGGGTTGCAACTTGTGCCAGGAAACTCTCCCTCTCCCTTTGAATTAACAATAACAAATAAATAAGGAAAAAGAATTACATTACCTTCAGCTTCTGCAAGTAACAATCGAGCTCACTACTGATACTGTCTTTCATGGACCCACTTTCAGAAGAAAAAAGTTGCTCTTCACCAGAGGCCTCACCAACCAAAGCTTGCTGCCAACACATAAAAGAAAAGTTTTTACTTTCATGGAACACAATTTTGAGAATAATTAACTAGGCTATAAGAGGAAATATTAGATACGCCCAAGGCTCTCCTTTTAATAGGTATTTATGAAAAATTTTATGTGCATCTCGCTAAAACAAATACTATGTGAGCATACAATAGACATACATTACAAGCAAGAAAAAATGCCTCTTGAGCTATATGGCCATCCTCTCATATAATTGACTTAGGGAGCATTTGTTTCTAAGGAAGTTTTCCCCTTGGAAAGTTTTGTTTTGTTTGAAAATAGCTAATTTTTGTAGGGAAGTGTTGTTCAAATTGTTAACTTCGTCATGTTTGACGAGGAGTTGACATTACACTTTCCTAGAGAAAACTTGCCAGGTGAGTCTGCCCTTATTCCATTCTTTCAATCACCATTCCTGTAATCTGATCTTTCCATCCTCAACCTCTACCCTTCAAGTGGTAGGTAATCTTCTAATCTTTCCATTGCATTAATCTCCAACTTATTCATAAACAAAAAAAAAAAAAAGCAACACAAATATTTGTACCCCTCAATTCACAATTCAGTGGCATAACAGCAGCAGACCCATTTTTTCGTAAACTAATATGAGTAATTGAAAGCTCTTGACTGTTGGCTAGATTCAAAAAGCAGATATAAAAATAAGAACAAAAGATGCAATAATTACTACTTACCAGCAACAGTTTCTTGTGCTGTTTGCGTTGAGGAAGAATGCCAAGAGCATCTAACATTGATTCATCAAGTTCTACAGATGTAGATATTTAGTTAATATAAAAAACAGAAAGCAATGTGGCAATCTGAATTAAATTGTCAGTACCCTTTGTTTGCAACAGTGTAGCCAGCACACTCAAAGAACCCGAAACTTGCACATCATCTCCACCGGTAAAAAATTGAAGCAAAACTTCCCTACACATCCATATTTCAAGATTGAGTGTTACATCATGTAGGGAAAACTATAAACCAGAAAAATAAGGTTTAAAAGAAGACCACAGACAAGTCAATCAGCAGGTTTGCTGCTAAACAGTAAGCACTCCTTATAGTAGAGCAACATTTATCAGACAAAGTGATAGTAATCACAGGAATGTCACCCCAGCCCACCCAATGCAAATATGCAATCCTTATTGAATGGGACTAGGGTTTGGACCTATCTAGTATCTATTACATACATGTATATCAATAAATATACATAATCAGAAATTAATATAATTAAAATATTTGGATGTTATCATGCAATCACAATTTATCATCCAAAAAAGAGTACCCAGGAAAACCAACCAACGAGAAAAACAAAAACCCATTCATTAGAAAAAGGTCATAATTAATGAAATATATTACCTCAATTCCAAACCTGAACTGCTGCAATTATTTTGAGTTATAATGACATCTGAATGAACTGGTGAAGAACAAGCTACGTTTGATAATTTGACACTTAATTGTTCAGTATCCACCTTGGTAACACTGTTAGCTCCAGCTACTGGTTCTTTTTTCTCACATTCAAAATCATTTCTAGATGCAAAACCATTCAATTTAGCTCCAGAATATGGAACAAAGGCTTCTAGAGGACAAAAAAGAGCAGCGGCAATAGTGTTCGCCAAGTCCTTGATTTTGACAATGCGCAAGATACAACAAAGTAGATACAGAGAAGTAATAGCACCAACTGGTTCCTACATTTACAAGTAGCCATCAGTTAAAGGCAAAGATGCAGCCACAATTAAAAGGTGAACTTACAAAAATTTTTAAAAGCCCCCACATCCAGAATCAAGAAAAAGAGTGCAAAACAAGATCACAGGAAGAAGACCCAGAAAAGTTACATACATTGACAATGTCCATCCATAAGGAAGGAAGAAGCAGAGGAAATATTAAAAGCTGCAAAATGTTGCCTGTTATTAACCTCCCAACATCAGGGATCCCAGCAGAGATAACATCACTAAAATAGTAGAGATTGTCCTCAATTTCATCTACAGCAGCAAGTAGTGCAGACACTGAGCCAGGGTCTGGGTTTCTGCATCAGTAACAAAATCATAATTTTTAGGAAGCAAAACAGATTCCACTCTCTTTTGTAAGCAAGATCATTACTCTAGCGCTTACATTAGACAGTCAGACACCAATTTGTTTAGATTAATGCACTGAGTCCGGAAAAAAGAAATCAAATTTGTAAAGTAATCAGAATTAGGGGCACTGGTAACGTATCTATTCACACCATCATCTCCAACTGAAAACCAAATTAGAAGGTATTAGAAATCTAAATCTGCAGAACTAAAAAATAAATTGGAACGTAAAGAAATCGGCAATGAAAAATAGCAACCAACCATGATAAACATTAAGCGTAAGTGCACGCACTGCAGTGCGTATCATGCTCTCTTCATGAAAAGCAAATCGTATTGCTTCAACATACAATGGGAAAGAAACAATTTCATCCTACATGGGTATAAAACAATAGAACAAATCAAGTGTGAGAGAGAGAGAGAGAGAGAGAAGGGATAAGGACAGGAAGTACTTACATTCTGTGTCTTCACAAGCAGTGATATTGTATTCTTGTTCAGTTTTCCACTTATTGCTCTTTAAAAACCAAAGGCAGTTTCAATAAGGCCATAAGCAAAAAATATCATAGATTTAACACATGAGCAGTAAACAAAATAAACAAGGAGAATCCACAATGAGACCACTAAAAAAAGATGAGAACAAACCTCAAGAATGAGATATAATAAGATAGTAGCTCTTCATTGCGGAAATCAAACGTATAGGTTATTAGGTAGTTGACATGTTCATTACTGAACATATAATCTGCAAATTTGACAGAGGAAAAGTTATTAAAGCCAACAAATATTATAAGAAATACAGTGCTAGTTTGGTTCTTTCATCAATCTGACTCACATATTGCATGTTCACTTTTGAGGTTTTGGATCATAATGCTCATTGTTTGAAGCAACTGAAGTGAAACAGTGACAGTTTTGCTAATCTTTAGTACACGTATGAAGTCTTCCATGACCTGCTTCTCCATGAAAAATCTGCAAAGAGCTCAGCTACATGAAATTCCTGAAACCAAGAAATAAGTATGGAACAGACAATAAACATTGAGAAGCCTCACTCAAAAAAAGAGGGATCATGCTGATCGCCATATGTCAACAACTCTGCAATGGATCTCAATGCCTCAATAACAAAATCCTACACAATTAACACAATTTGAGAGAACTCTAAATGTATCGAAATACAAACAGTACGAGCAATCAACAAAACATAGACGAAACAAATACAAATTACCTTGTTAACTTCATTTACAATCTGAACTTTCTGCAGCTGATCACATAAATATCTGCATAAGATAAGGAACTCAACTAAATATTAGAAAATATGAGCAGACACTAACAATTACTGATACCATAATACCATAATCGAGTTTCCAACTCCTAGATTATTAACTTCCTGTCTAGCCCTAGATTCCAACTCCGATAAAGTCTAAACTACGCTTCCAGTTCAAAACAAAGTAAAATCAACGAAAAAGACAAACACACACATACACACACAAAAAGCATCAAATAGAATGCTTAATTATCTGAATTGAGCATGAACAAGCGTCCATAATCAGAAATTAAAAGTTAAAATCCTAGATGGATCAAAATTAATTACTAAATGAAATGAGTGGAATGGAAGAGGACGGAAAACCTGAGCTCGTCTAAGGAGAATCGATCTCTGGGTCTCCAGAAGGAAAGCCACATGGTTGTACGATCAAGCCAATGAATTCAACTCCGCAGAGCTCATTCTCACTCCCGATTCCAGCTCTGCAACAGTGATTCCATCGAAGAAAACCAAAGAGAAAAGGTGATTGGATATGCGACAACTTGTTCAGTTCCGATCAAAACAGCTTCCAGAAATGGAGAAGATGAAGACGACGGGGATCGTGATCCGGGAGGGAACTGTGTTTGGAAAGAGTAATTTTGGAAGGCGAAGACGAGAGAACAAAAGTGTTCGAATGGGAAGTTTTTTAAACTTTCCGATAACACAAATCCTGCACGAACTCAATTACAGGAAACATCACCGGAAAAGCCATAAGATCGAGCTGGCATTATTGTCAGTTGGGCTGTCTTGATGTTCTTTTAGCCCAAAACAGGGAATGGTTATCCAGTCCATTAACTGCTGGCTTGATGTTCTTTCAGCCCGAAACAGGGGATGGTTATCCAGTCCATTAACTAAATAACCGTCACTTTTAAGCCCAAGAATTGGCCTCAACTTGAAAGATAACCCAAATACTCGTCTTAATTGTTTTTTATAATTTCAACAAGGTAACATGCCACCCACTGTGCGAAAAGTGAGTGGAATTAGCAGTTTTGTCAATAATAATAATAATAACAAAATTTATAGTTTTTTTTTGAAAAAAAAAGTTGTGTAAAATTTTTTAAAAAGAAGAAGGTAGCAAGGGCCCATTTTTAATTGGGCGTTAAACATAATTAATTGGATTTTTTAAAAAAAATTTAATTAGTTTTAATTTTTAAATAGCTTAAAGACAAGTCATGAAGAGGGTGTTTGGGGAATTTTACCCCCTTTTTTTTCACAAATTTCAACATTTATTGAAGAAAAAACTTTATTATCTTAAAGAATTTATATAGTAAAATTTAAAAAATAATAGTAATTTAGAAAAAGAATTGTTTATAAACAACCAAAAAAATAAGATACACCAAATATCAAGTAATTTGGCCATTTTGAATACAAGTTAGAATACCATATTCATTCTTAGAAAATAAAAAAGAAGGAAGAGGAGGATTGATTCTAAATTTGTTATAATGTAATTCAATCATAAGCTGTAAAATTTGACCACGAATTTGAAAATCTTTATTTTGTATCTAATCTCTTACCCCTATTTTCCATGCATTCTTTGTTCTTACAATTACGTAATCTCATTAAAAAAAAACAGGAAGTTCCGTCAAAACCCAAAATCCAAGCACGTAATTCACCGTCAGGTCTGACGTTCAGCGGTTGAAACCAAGTGCACAAACTACGTATCCACACACGTACGTTAGACAGAAGCTTCTGGAAAACCTGGGGCGGGCCGTGGGCGCCTGTATTTCGACCCGACTTGGCTAAAATTTTAATTAAAAAAAAAAGGAGAAAAATATGTTGCATAGTCTTAAAGGATAAGCATTGCTTTATTTATCAGTATTATATATGCAGCTTGTGCTGTAATATGCTGTATGTTAGAGTAAGGTTTTTTCGTCTTTTATTATTAAAAAATAAATAAAATATTACTTAAAATTAATAAAGATATATTAAAAAAGTAACTAAAAATAATAATTTTGTATTTTTCAATAATTTATAGTGTGAAAAAGGTTTATGGAAGCATTGTCAAATGAAATTAAAAAGTGTTGAAAAATTCGATTTGCAATGGACAATTTAAACATTAGATAAGAACAAATCCTCAAATA